ATGCCGGATCTGGCCCAGCATGTGTGATGATATCAGTGGTTCATTGTCACGGAGCTGGGAATTACTGCCAGCACGTTAACATCCCCTGCCACCCACGCTTTTATTCTGTATCATCACATGCTCTAGAGTCGCTCGCTGCTGCTACACTCTGCTCAAAACGCCGTTGGATGTAACGCTTTGGTGAAGGGTCCCCAGCTCTGGGTTTCCTCCGGCCATTCAAGCCACTTGAAGCTCCTACCAAACCCAGCTACAGGGCTCATCTGTGCCAAAAGCCCACGGCAGGGCTCCGCAGCCAGAGGCGTGGGGAGGGGAGATTAGTCAGCAGGCAGAACGACGGAGCTCCCCAGCCTCTCGATCTGTTTGTCTGATTTGAAGCGTGATGCAACCCGACAGCGGCGCGAGGGCGCAAGGGGTTTCATTATACACACCCACTCACCACCTACGTTTTGTGCCCCTGACCCACTGAGGAGCAGCACACCTGCAGCACTGACAAACATCAGCAGGTTGGGGAGCGTTCGACACCCACAGCAGTATCTCTTGGCGCTATGCAGATTTGTAGTCAGACAGTCAGACTGCGTTTGGTTTTTTTTTTTTTTTTAAATATATAAGAAAACTATAAGAAACAGGAAAGAGCTTGCATCTTCTATCACCACTCATACCTGGGCTTTATATCTCTCAAGGCAGAGGAGAATTAGTTCTTGCTCTCCCTTGCCTGGGGAGGCACAGCACTTGCCGGGAAGCGACTCGTGGGGTCAGGCTGTGGTTGTGTGTACATACGGGACACGCAGACACAGAGGACAAGCCTGTACATCACCAATTTTGCTGTTGCAGCTCAGGCCTAGAAACATTCCTCACACCTGTTTATTATTAACAGGAACTGCCCACCCCCCAGCTCCTGGGATTTCGCTCCCGTTTCCAGTGAGAAGAGGTGGGGTAACATCGCTGGTGCAGACGTGGCATTCCCGTGGGAGGGAGCCGTGCAGGCTGCTCCCCTCCCTGGCTTTCAGCGATGCTCCCAGCAACTCTGCAGCAAGCAAACAGCTCTCAGGGTTTGCCCCTCAACATCAAAGTGAGGAGGAAAGGACATAGCCTGATTGAATTTGCTCAACAGCAAACTTTACCCCTCACTACCACTCTTTGTATGTCAATCTACATTTCCTCCCCTACTCTCCTCAAGGTGGACTCGCTCCTGGATCTGATAAGAGCCTCACCCTCATTAGGGCAATTAATTAGCTGGAGAAACACAGCTCCAAAGAACCCAAAACCCAGGCAGGCTTTACGTTCCCTTGTACCAGGTTTTGCTGAGATTTGTGTTTTTCCATTGAGTGATTCCATTGAGTTTCCACTGAGTGATTCTCCATTGCTGGTTCCCTCCCCTGCCCACTGGTCATCCATGGACATACCTAGAAACAAGAGCAAGAAGTGCCATTGCTTTAGGCCAGATCATCTGTGAGGACTTTCTGAGTCCTGTTCCATTCAAGCCCCTGTGAAGCCCCACGTGGACTTCACTGGCTGCACAGCATGAGACCACATTCCTTACACACAGAGGCCTTGGTGTCTGGCATTACGTATCTCCCATGGGATCCTCCCTTCTGCTGGCCTATGAGCAGCTTGTCCAAGGGTGTTTG